CGTGGTGATGCCCAGCCAGTTCTTCCCAGGCATGAGGGTCATTTGAACACTGCGCTGGGTGGTGGTGTGATGGAGTGAGCACCCATCACCAGGTGAGCCTTCCTGGGTTTATGAAAATGGCTTCCAATTTTATCAGTCACCCATCGTCACTTTCCAGTGGCATTAAAAAAAATGGAGTCAAAACTCACAGAACATAAATGTGCCCATTTAAAAGGGCATTGGCATCTACTACTCCACGGTGTTGGACAGCCTCCACTCCCATTGGCCACCCAGCAGCGCTCTACAGATTTAACCCTGTCAAGGCCGGAGGATGTTGTTCTTGGAATTTTGGGTTGAAACTGTGTTTTCAGTGATGGAAGGCATTTTGAGTGACATGTAAAACATTTTTTTAAAGATATTATGAATTTTGATACAATTACTCCCCCCAAAGGAGGAAAAAACCCTGCACCAGCCATTTAATTCCAAATCATAGTGAAATTGTACATCTTTACAGGAGCAGACAGCCTCATCTTTCCACCATGGAGTATCGGGCGGGTTTGAACTGTCGACTTTGCAGTTAGCAGACCCATGCTGCACAGGGGGCTTTTTGAGACAATAAATGAGGCACACCTGTCCTGGTGCTGCGGCGGGTTGAGGCCCCTTTACTTGATTCTTGCAGTTACACAGGACCCCCACGAGGTGGCAGCACACACTGGAAGTGCAACAGAGGTTGGTGTGTAGTCCATGCCCACAGACCGACCACAGAGGCGTTGTCCAATTCCGGATAATTCATGCAAACGGAATTACATAACACACTGTTTTCTATGTCCAGCTTCTTTCACTTAGCATGAGGTTTTTGAGACGCGTCCACATTGTAGCATGTAACGATAGTTGGGGTTTTTTTTTGCTGATTAATACTTGTTGGTTGTAGGAATATGTTACCGTTAGTTTATCCAATTGGCCACTGATGAACATTCTGGCTGTTTCTGCCCCGTGGCTAATAGGACAAGCACTGCTGGGAATGTTCGTTGGTGCTAGTTTTCAGTTCGGTGGAGTCTGTAAGTACAGTAGGAGTGGAACTACTGGGTCACATGATAATTCTTATTTTTGAGACATCACCCAACTGTTGATAAGTGGCTGCACCAGTTTCCATTCCCAGTAAGAGGAGGGTTTTAATTTCCCCAACACAGGTGGTTTCCCCGCTTGTTTGTTTTTAATTGTAAGTTGTCAAGATGCCTGTTGCCATTGAGTGCTGTCATGGTTTGCGCTTCATCATAACCCATGTGACTGAACCGCTGGTGGGCTTGAACCATCAACCTTTCGCTTAACAGCCAAGTGCCACCAGAGTTCCGGCATAAAGACTACAGCCAAGAATCCAACCCCCCGTACCCCACCCGTCAGTTAGTTCTACTATCATGGGGCGACGTGGTGAGGTGAACTCCATTCTATGGCACACAACAGGGCTGGCTGACAACTTGGGGAGTTGAAAGGTCTTGTTCCCAGGGCTGGGAAAACCTGGAACTGCTGCCCGCCCTGCACCTCCTCAAATTCTGGTTCTCCCTTCAATTTGGTAAATCAGTGCCCTCTGGTGGCCATGCACTGCAATAGCTACCTCCTCTACAAAGGCTCCTGGTGGAGGCCAGTCTGGGGTTTGCTAGTGGGTTCTGATTTCTCTTTGGGCCCAAGTAGCTCTCCCAGCCTTTTCTGGTTCCTGGTGGAGACCTTTCCCCTCTGTGAGTCGCTTTCCCCATCTGTTAAATGAGAGGACTGTAATAGATCCTCTCTAGCATTTAAGAATCAGGGGCAATCATTCATTCAACAAACACACGCGGTTGTGTGTGTGGGGGGTGGTAATTGGGACTCTATCAGGGGGAGTCCCTGCAGGCCTGCCCTTGAGGTTACCAGCCCACTCCCACGAAGCCGATTCCCACTGGACCGAGACCGAGACTCAGTGCTCGGACCCAGAACTGCCCTCAAAGGTTTTCAAGGTCGTCCCCTTCACAGGAAAGAAAGCGCCACATCTTCATGTGGACCAGCTGCCTGGGCTGGCATCATCGACCTTTCTATTTGCAGCTGGACGCTTTAATCAAAGCACCACCACAATTCCTTCAGGTAACAGACCAGCCGCAAACGAAAGAAGCAGATGGCATTGCGTGTCAGGGGACCCATGGTAGGGGGGTGGGGGGTAACAGAGCAGGTACAGAGGCTCAGGATGGCGGCTGAGGTGAGGGACGGGGACTGTGTGGTCAGGGATAGGCCATTTGGAGGAAGTTTGTGTGGCCTCTGAGCCAAGGCCCAAAGGAAGACAACTGGGTTGAACAAACAGCAAAGTCAAACCGCTGCCATCAAGTCTATTGCAACTCACAGCAACCCTGAAAACCAGGCCCCGGACTATCCATCTTCATGGGAGCACATCGCCTCAACGCTCTCCCACAGAGCGGCTGGTGGGTTCGAACTGCTGACCGTGTGGGTAGGAGCCCAATGTTTACCTGATGTGGCCACTGAGCAGAATCTGCAGAGGCAGAGCCCTGCAGGTGGAGGGAGACCCACACAGACGGTAGCCTGACGAGGCGAGCTATGATGTCGCCGATGTCACTGGGCACGGAGACTGCTTTCACACCGTGGCATTCTAACACTGCCTGCCCCCAGTTCTTGCTCTAGATTCCCATCCAGGCACTCCGTGTCTGCCCGCACATCTGTGAAATGCCGAGAAGACCACCAGGGCCACCAGACAGCATCCGATTGAAGACATTTATTTACTTTTTTTTCTAGATACATAGATGACATAGTTATAGACAGGTTTTGATACATAGGAAAACCCTTCTGTCTGCTCTCTTTGCTAAATGAGTCGTCACGATCCTTTGTACATTTTTTTTCTTAAAAAAACAAACAAACAAAAACCAATACACAGCTTTCCTGGGGCTGAAGCGATTGCAAGAACGTATTGGTACTGGTATATTACAGCTACTTACAATGCTTTAAGAACAGCAATGGCGAAAAATAAGTTATTTAAATATTGATTTCATATACAGAAAGTGCAATGTTGTTAGTTGTTATATAACTTGCTCAACAGTTTGTTTTCACGATCAATTAAAAAACAAACAAACAACAACCCAAAAGCATCAAGATCAGTTGGACTCTGACTACTAATTTTGTCTTTGCTGTTTTCTGAACTTGACTACAGACGTCCACCTGGCGGCGGCAACCTGGTGGACTGGCCTCTCGTGGTTGTGAAAGCACTCGCTGCGTCAGGAGCTGACTGCCGGGGACGGGTCCTTCGGAAGACACCCGGTGTTGGAGAACGGGGAGGGGCCTCGGGGCCAAGCCCGGACATGCCTGCTCCTGGGTGTTCTGGACATACCCTCTGCGGTGGGGACTGGCGGGCTGGCTTTTCCTGGCAGACAGCTCCTAAGGTTAAGACCGCGTGCCATTGACACGTACCTCCCTGAGCCCAGCCGCCCGGCAGGCCTCTCTTGTGCTTTCCCAAACCTAACCATTCGCATGGTGGCACAGAGCGATGCCAAGGATGAACACGGGGCGCGGCGGAGGCCGCCACCTGCCTGCTAACCGCCACCGGTGGCCCAGACCACCGCAGCAGTGCCACACGCACACAACCGGGCTTCCCCAGGGCCCAGGCAGACACGAACATATAAACGAAGATTTTTTCCCCAAAAAAACAAAACCAATGGGCTCCGGGGAGAAACGCAGACACCTCAGACTACAAAGGCCTCCTCAGACATGCACCCCAGACCCCGACTGTGCTTTTTCTAGGCAAAGGCCTGGTTTCCAAAGTAGGGAGTGGCGTTCGGACGCTCCCATCCCAAGGGCCCCTCTCCCTGGTGCCATGTGGACTGAACATGAAAATCCAAACCAGGACACGGACCAAAGCTCGGCAAAGCACGTCTCTGCCCTCTCCCTGGGTTTCTTCTGTGCCTTCGATACCTTGAACAGAACCGTGCGTCTCATTGCCCAGCCTAAGCACAGAGCAGGAAGCCTGGCCAGGATGCCGCCGCACGTGAGGGGACAGAGGGCGGGGGGCGCAAAGCGCCTGCCCTTGTCCATCTCCGCCACCTCACTGAGCCTATGCTTGGGTGACGGAGTTATCCCAGAACTCCATGCCCTGGCTACGTCCCGACAGACATTGTCAAAGAGGAGCCAAGGCAGGAGGCGAGGTCAGGGAGCTGCCTTCATTCGTCTGGCGGCTTTAGCTGTTCTACATTCCCAGCGCAAACTCAGGGAGTGTGTGGGGGTGGGGGCGCATCTTGCAGAAGGTGAATATTATCGAAGCAACAGAAGTTATTTTAAAATGCATACCAAAGCATCAAGAAAAATCCCCTGAGAATATGTATTTTCTTTCTCCTCAGAAGCATGGGTCCAGGCGTGGAAAGCAAAGGCTGGGGATGGCTTTGGAAGGAAGGAAATCATGGTTGTCTTCCTGAGGGAAATCATTTCATGAACAGATGAAAGGAGACACAACCTTCGACACAGGCCTCGGGTTCGAAGGGTTTCTCTGGTAAAGGATCACATGGGGGCTTGCAGGCGTGGTCCTGGGGAGAATGCAAAGGGGACTCGTTTTGTGAGCAAGGAAAACCTTACTACTTCATCATCTAAATTTGTCCTTTGCTGGAAAAATCGGACACTAGGCTAAAAGAGATTGCAGAAATCAGCTGGAAAGTCACTGGAAACAGGCAAACACTTAATAGACGGCTAGGGTGGTGAATCTGGCTTCATCGCATAGCTTTGTCCGAATGAAAGAACTGTCTAGAGAGACGGGTGGGAGACAAACATCTGCATGACATGATAACACTTTAAAAGTGCAGAAAATACCTTACAAGCTGCTTCCCTTTCAAAACCAAACCAAACCAAACCATCTCTCTGGAACATTCGATCTGACAATGATTTTTCGCAAAGGTGATTGAAGTCGGGAATGGAGACAGTCCGGATTCCAAGTCAAAACAACAACACAATGTCCAACATAGGAAAGAAAATAAATGGAGTAAAATGAAGGCAGTGACCACACACACACACACACACACACACGCACACACACGCACAAGCACCCACATGTACAAGCTAGCTGCAAATTTCAGTCAGCTTCTTACTGGATTTGTAGTTAGTTTGAAAACCAAAAGCCAACACGAAACTGGTGCCTGATAAGCACTCCTATAAAACAGGCCAGGTCAAAAATCAAACAAGTAGAAAAGCCCACGTTTGCGGAAACCCCCGATATAGTAGACGGTGGTCGAAGCTGAAGGTTTGGGACGATGGTTATGGGGTCGTGAACCCTAGTTCGATCGCGGCTCAAAGCTTATGTTAAGGCAAATAAAAGCTGATTGCTAGAAAGCAGTATGAACACGTCTCTTGGGGATCAGAAGGAGGACAGGGCTATTTCTGGGTGGCCAGGGTTTTCTCCCTTCTGAACAAAGAAACACAGCCCATAGGGAACAGCAAGCGCCCAGGCCGGGGCTCTGGGCTTTGGGTGTCTGCAGAAGAGCTGGGCAGGGCCGAGCTGCCCTTGCCCGGCTCCCAGACAGACCGGAGGCACAGCATTTGCTGCGGGTTGGCATCTTGGTTTGCATTCCGAAAATAAAAGACATCCTTGTCTTCTCTTTGGGGGGTGTGCCTACAGGAGGGAGGGTCCTGGCCTGAGCCAAGGTTCTATGCAGTCTGGCTCCCCGAGGGGCCTCCCTTCGGAGCCCAGGCTGCATCGGGGCACAGTGAAGGGGTGGTGCAGCAGGGCCTGGCTACATGGCCTCGGGCCCCGGCGGCAGTTTGAAGAGTCTGGCGGCGGACACGAGCTTGCAGATGTGCCTCTCCTCTGTGATGCCCGCCTCCTGCAGGCACGTGTGGGACAGCGAGGGCACCTGGCTCAGCGTGCTGCAGCCCGCCTCTGTGAGCGCGCCCACGTACATGGGCAGGCCGATGGACACCAGCCACTCGGTCACGGATGACACGCAGCCTGGCGAGAGCGGCTTCCGGCAGATCTCCGTCAGGCCGCCACTGGGGATCTGGACAAACAAAAGGGGATGGACGGGTTAGATGCAGGCTTCCCACACCACCGCCGCCTCTGTGTCACAGCCCTGCCCCGTCCACGGCGGGGCTGTGACCAGAGGGGCAACACCGTGAGATGCCAAAGGCGCGTGGGGAGAGCTGCTTCCCGACTTCTTACAGACGAGCCGTGGTTCCGGAGCGTGCACCCTGCGAATGCACTTGGGGTGGGTCCACCTGCAGAAGCTTCAGAAGGAAGGCCTGGCAATCTACTGTGTGGAAATGAGAACCCCGACGTCATCGGTTTAAAACCTGATATACTTTGGGCTCGATCTGGTTTTTAATATTTTTGACTCTCCGATGGGTGTTTTTCTCTGTTTTCTGGCCTATGAAACCCAGATGGGTGAATCTACAGACAACTAGAAAAGGGAGTGCTGGGGGAGTGGCGGGCAGGGGAGGTGGAGCAGTAAGGGGGAGCTGATACCAAACAGTTCAAGGAAGAAAGTGTTTTGTACAACACTGCTTGCTTGCTCTGAGTGAACTACGGGATGGTGTGAAGTCTGGGTGAGTTCCCAATAAAATGGCTTGGGAAAACACACAGCCTCTGATAAAATCCAAACCGGAAGGAGGGAATGTATCGGAAGTTAAGTTGTGAACACTGGTTTTCAGAAGGCTGTGGGTGACAGAGGCGCCCAGACTTATTCGCAGCCTCCCCGCGTGGATGAGGCCTCCAGTGGCCCCCCTGCCCACAGACAGACCAGGGATGCGCATCGCATTGCTGGCATGCGGAGTGCAGCGCATGGCTTGTTGTTTCGTTTGTTCCTGGATGTTGTTGTCTATGTCTTTCTGGATATGAAGTCCAGGGTGGGAAGGGCTGCAGAGATGGTCACTGCACGGATGGTTGATTGAGGGGTGGGGCGGGAAGGTGGGGGG